AAAGAATAAGCAATATATGCGGACACTACGCTCATTATAGTGACGACAGCTGGAACACAGAGTGATACCCTGCCACTGTCAAAATCCTTCTATCGTTCTGCCAATATTCATATCGGCATATTGTAGAGAATTAAATAGCGCGTGACTCCCCCAAAACCAAATTTCAAGGTGCATTGCTCCCTCCTTTCTTCTAGTTCCTAGGTCATTTTAGTAGGATACGGCTTACCGGGAAAAGAACACTGCAGTGCTAGATGCATCTTTGATCATTTTGTCTGTTATAGTCACAGAGCATGGTCACGAACGATGTTTCAGGAGCTGATACTGCCTACATGCTAGCGCTCTTATTGCAGACTATAAGAAGAAAGTGACAGAGAGTACAATGGAGCCTCCTCAGTAATTATTTTATAATCGGTATGATAAACGAGGGCGGTTTCGCGTTGCGTTCGTTCGGTTGTAAAACTGCCCAAGTTCGTGTCTGGATAAGACGCTGCTGATCTAGCTTCGATGGTGGCACTCATGACTCCTACAAGTATACTCAAGTCGCCCCTTTTTCAGTTGCTGTCGTCATGCTTCAGACGGTGATCTTTTTTGGCGATAAAGTCAGTAACGCTATTTCATTCCGATGCCCCACTTAACTTGAGCGAGTATCACAACGTTCTACTAATGAAAGTGACATTAATCACGGACAGCCAAACACCGAGTTGTCAACGGTGACGACAGCTGGACGTACTAGCGCTGACGCGTCCGTCATCCGTCATCCATCATCCGTTAGCCGTCACCCGTTAGCCGTCATGCTGTACTTTGTGTAGGCACAGCAACAGCGCGACGTGGAATGACCAGGACGAAGTGATCGAGAAACGTGGACAGAGGCTAGCTTAGAAAAGTACCGTTTCGGAGCTGGCGAAAGCGAAAGATACCGGACTAACACCGTCTCGCTCAACCGATCTGACCAGTCTACAGGGCACGCTGCCGTTGCCCTTGCTGAAGGTAACCTTTCGACGTGCTCGTTTCGAAACCGTGCGAAAATCCTCTCAACTTGTACGCCGACTCCGCTTCGCGAACTCCCGAGTTATTTTCGGTCGCGGGTCGCCAAAAACGCCACAGATGCATCTGCAGCATTCGAGCCGGCGTGGCGGTCGCTGAGGTGCCACAGGTGTCGCCGAGGTGTGTTGCCAACGTGCCGCAGATCTGAATATTCAACGCCAAACAAACATTTCACTTCTCGCAGGTCAAAAAGGTATCTTTTACCATTCGGACTTAAATACCGCTAAGACGTCAGCTACAACGTCGCCAGGACAAAAGTATTTTTGTTTTTCGAACCTCGCATGAGAAAGAAATACCAAAGATGAATGAACACTTAGTGTCAGTGTTCAGTGCGAAGCATGGTTCCTGCAGGGTGAGAAACAACTGTAGGCATTTCTGATACTTGGTTAGTTAATCAGGTGTTTTCAACCCTAGCCAAACAATTATTTCCGATGAAACACGTTGCGGATTGCAGCAGCACATTCGCCGTCCACATGTAGCGAATGTTAGTTAAGGCTGAAAGTTGATTTCAATTTATCTGTCGTTGCCTGAAGCATGTGTAATAACTGATTGGAGAAGCAAATATTTAGTTGGTGGTGATTATTTCACACATTTGCCCATATTTAGGTCGTTATTTTCATCATTTCAGTTGCTGCATTTTAAGAAAGAAAATAGCACCTTCCGTTTTTCGTGAACTGTCATGAAATAGAAATAATAGTCAAAAATAACGATGAATCTTCAACATGAAACCTTATACTTTGCATGAATACGTGGAACGAAAAGACAACCGCAGTCGCTACTAGGCAAGAACGATTAAGAACGATGGCACGTATATCAGTTATTTGGGGCTATCACCTATAAGGCAGAGCTATCGATCGTTAGGTTTCTCGCAATGGCATATTTTTCAAGCTCAGGTCATAACGCCATTCAAATCTTAATTAAATGCGACTACTGGTTCAATTTGGCAACTTTCCCAGTGCTTTACGATCCGCTTCAACATAACAAAGAAGATAAATAGAGTTCATGTTTTTGATTCTGGGCTCGTCGTTATATAGAGAGGTGGTTGAACGATTCATGCTTCAGGGCACCAAACAGCAGATGGCTAAAACTTTTATTGCCAACGCATTTCACTACATAGTCCGTGGCATCATCAGGGCTGAACTGAGCACAAATGGCTTCTCAAGGCACTTATACCACACAGGCGACCATTGCCATGTTTAATGATAGGCATACTCATACTCATACTTATAAACAAATCAGTTGTAAAACAGCTTTACCACAATGTAAAGTAATGTAAAGTTCACATTATAAAGTACAGCCAGATCTTTGTTTTTAATTATGGACCTATCATGAAACATGGCAATGTTCGCTTGTTGGATATAAATGCCTTCAAACATCCATTTGTGCTCACTCCAGCCCTGACGATGCCACGGTCCATGTAGTGAAAGGCGTTGACAATAAAGGTTTTACCACCTGCTGTGTTTGGTGCCCTGAACGATGAATCGTTCAACAACCAACCACTACAACAGAAAAGAGTTTGTACTATAAAATCAGTGGATTAAAAATTACTTTGAAAAGCATTCCTGCGCTGACGATGTTCATTTATTGTTGTTACACTTGTCAGTTTTACTGGCGTAGCCAGCTCCAAGGACGTCAAAGATCGCTAACTTTCACCTCTGTCGATCACGCGCGATATCTGCCACCAAGTTCAGAATGCTCTGCTTTCACCGTTGTCCTGTACGGTGCCTGTCGGATTTCAGAGCAGCTCTGATAATGCCCTACGAGGTCTTAACTTGTCCACTTCTTTTCCAGTGTCATCCAGAAACGGAGGTAGCGTTTAGTGTAATGGAAGTGATTTCGTTTTGTGGACGTCCCAGCATGTGCCTCGGCCAGCGCAGTCGTCGTTCTTTCAGTACAGCAGAAAGTTGGATGATGTTGCAACAGGCACGGGTTGAGATGTTCGATGTAAGGTTAATTAATCATATTGGCGAGATGAACCGCCAG